CACACACACACAGATGCATACATGGGATCCCCACAGCCGTCATCGTCACCAAAAAGAGGTACTCTTGCACCCACAAGACCGGCATCCCTCCGAAGTAGACAAACATCCTCACCTCCGCATCCCCCCTGGCTGCTAGCATCAACGACTACGGCGAAGACAGGCAATGCAACGAAGCGCACACCCAACGCGGCGGCAAAGCACGACCATCGAGGAAGCACAACGCACCCCTTCACCTCCCACCCCTCCACCACTCGCGAGCATGGCGGAGTTCGTGGCAGCTGCTTCCCCCCTTAAGGCCATGTCGTTCACGCCACAGAGCCACACCGCCACCACCACCTGCATCAGCACAGGTGGGAGAACAAAGCGGTGCATGACTCTCTACTGCGCCCTCCGTGATGAATAAACAGAAGGATGAGAAAGCCGTGTTGCCAGCGCCAGACAGTGGCAGGCTTACACGCGGAGGAAGAGGAAGCACTACAGAGGAAGTACGAAGACAGGAACAGAGAAGGCGAAAACGAAAAAAAAAAGGCACAACACAACAAAGAGATCATCATATCATGGTGCAAAACAACAACACACAACACACAGCAACAACATTCCACACTACATCTCATGCTTAAGTCTTTACAGCAATCATTAAGGAGCGAAAGTTGTGTGAGGGCCCCAGAAAAAAAAAAAAAAGAAAACAAAAACGATAAACGAACTAATGGGAATATTTTCCTCCGCGCTAAGCGGAATGCTCAGACCACAGCAAGAGAAGAGCGGGTAGTTTAGCCTCGCCTGCCGTACGGGTTCCACGTGAAACACCCGTTGCAAAAAAATCTCGCCACCTCACTATTCCCTGCGATGGGAACCGACACACGCCTCATCGTGTGGCAGATTTCTCGCTCCCGCATGGTGGCGGTGGCCTGGCGTTGCTGCTCCTGCTCCTGCTCCTGCTCCTGCTCCTGTTGTTCTTGTTGTTGCTGGTGCTTCTCAGTTGATTCAAGCCTTAGCGACTTCTTCCGCTTGCGCAGTNGAACCGACACACGCCTCATCGTGTGGCAGATTTCTCGCTCCCGCATGGTGGCGGTGGCCTGGCGTTGCTGCTCCTGCTCCTGCTCCTGTTGTTCTTGTTGTTGCTGGTGCTTCTCAGTTGATTCAAGCCTTAGCGACTTCTTCCGCTTGCGCAGTTGTTGTCTTCGGCGCTGCTCCTTTGCAAAGACCGGAATGACGCCAAAGAAGTACGGGAGGCCGTCGTGGACAACGCACCAGATGTAGAAGCGACCGTCCTGCACAATGCGGCGATGCCGGTCTCGCAGCCAGCCATCGTCGCCGTAGCGAAAGGTAGCGCCTGCGAGTGTCTTCTTCACCCAGCTTAGCAGCACGTCCTCTAATGCCACACTGGGCTGGGCCAACAACACCCACCGCTCGTGCGCATCATCGTATGTGATGAGATCCCCGTCGTGAAATGTGACGTGCGCCGCGTCCTCGTCTTCGGCGCCTCCTTCGCAAATGACCGTCGTTGTCGCCGTCTGCCAGGGAGCAACAACAACGCACAACAGCCGCGGCTTGCTGTCGCACATTTTTCCCTCATTANCCTCAGCGGCATTTAGCCGGCGCTGCTGCAGAGTCGAGAGAATACGCGTCGGGACGCACAACTCACCGCTCCTTGGGTGGACACCGACACACCCAGCGTATTCGTAGTCGTTGGGGTCCGCTCCAAGTTGCTGCTGCTGCTGCTGCTGTTGTTGTTGTTCCTTCATGTGTGGGCACGGCGGCTGCGGTGAGAGACCACCGGCCGCAGTGGCGCAGAGAGAGCACACCGCCCGCACGGCTTCCTCATGCATGCGAAAGAGAAATCGGTTCCCACGCACACTCGCAGTGGCACCAGTCGGGAACGCTGTGGCCCGCACGAGCTGCCGCAGCTCCGCACTGATACGAAGTAGTGACACGTTCGAAGCGAGCCCGATGTGCCACACTGGACGCGTGATGGGCTCATCCATGCCGGCCATGCGCGAGTGCATTGCGTAGTGGCCGAAGCCGGTGATACGTGCGCGGCTGAACGCCTTGGCACACACAGAGGCCTCGCAGAAGTGGCAGGCGCAAAGCACCGGTGGTTGCTGGCATGACGGAAGGCTCTCGATGTAGGCGTCCTCTTCAGGGTCTGCGCTGTGTCCGCGCAGCCACGGCGTTCCGCGGCACACGGCGGGAAGCAGCGACTCGCAGCCGACGACACGAACGGGCGTGGGCGGCACAATACACGTTTCGTGCAGCTGCGCAACGAGGAAGAGCGTGTTGCCGCACTCCAACAGGTGTAGCGCGCCGTCGCGAGGAATGGCGGCACCGTGTGGCTCTGACGGCTGTTGCTGCTGCTCCACCTCCTCAGGTGTGAGGACGGCCAGCACGGCACACGGAAGTGCACGGAGAAAACGACGGGGCGGCGGCACTTGCTCTGCGGCGCGAACCGTAGCCGCCTCCTCCTCTCCCCGCTTCTTTTCTTTGGAATCCATACCATCATCCTTTCCCTTTTTCGTGGCGCGTTGGCGTTGACGGTGCTGCTGTATCACTGTCCTGGCGTTGCGCCACGCGCGCTCTTCCTCGAACAAGGCCCGCATCTCCGCGTTGGTGTCCGTCATGGCGGGGACGGCCCCGTGCGTCACCAGCACACGGTACAACTCCGCTGGCTCGCGGAAGAAGGAAAAGTCTTGCTGGCTCCCACTTGTACTGCACCCTCTGCTTTCGCCAGTGCTGTTCTTGTGGGTGCCGCTGTTGCACTCCCCGTGAAGCAGGAAGTCCTCGTCGACGCGGTACATCGCCGACGGGTCGGGCTCCAACTCCTCATCGCACACGCCGTTCCAGTCATCCCCCACCAGCCGCCGCCACCGAGACGGACCGGCGACGCCGAAGCCGTACTTCGCTGACTGCGCGTCGCGACAGGCGTGCAGCTGCCGGAACGCCAGGCAGTCGGGCGACGGGAAGAAGTGCGGTGTGAGCGGCACATGCGCGAGCCGCAGCGCCCCGCTGCGCGTGAACTGAAGGGACGCGGGGTTCTCGTGCAGCTCACGGCTCGGCACACACCCCATGGACGCACAACTCTTCTCAACTC